TTGGCATTCAACGAGACCACCGAAGACATACACTAAACCTGCTTCTTACCTACCTCAGCCAATACATAATCTTATAAAAGAAAAACGTAGGATTAGAGCCCTATGGCAAAGAACTAGATATCCATCGTACAAAACAGAACTCAACTTAATAACTAGAAAACTTTACGAAAAACTATTAAAATTTAAAAATGACAGCTATAAAGGCTACATAGACACAATAAACAATAGAAATGGATCAATATGGACAACAACAAGACGTATACTAAAGAAAAAAGACCTTCAATACCCTCTCCGATGTACAGACAACACTTGGGCAATAACAAGCGAAGAAAAAGCCAATGAATTCGCTAAATATCTTGCACAAGTATTTGGGACAAACAGAATACAGGACAATAATTTTACTGACGCAATAGAAGAAGAATTGACAACACCACTACCCTTATCACTACCCCCACCGGCATTTCATCCGAAAGAAATTTACAAAGAAATCAACAGACTACCAAACAAAAAGCTCCTGGCTATGATCTAATCACTCCCTTCATTCTTCGACACCTACCTCGAAAAGCTGTTTTGTTTCTTACACACATCTATAACTCCATTTTACGCACTACCTATTTTCCTCTCCTTTGGAAACTCTCCACAATCAAAATGATTGCCAAACCTTCAAAACCTACCACTTCTCCTTCATCCTATCGTCCTATAGCACTTCTTCCAATAATGGGCAAACTATTTGAAAAACTATTACTAAACCGACTAATGCCTATTCTAGAATATAGTGAAGTGATACCAAATCACCAGTTTGGCTTTCGCTGTTATCACTCTACAGTGCAACAGTGCCATCGGATAGTAGATGACTACCAAACAACTATGACTTTTGAAAAAAAGGAATATTGCTCTGCCGTCTTTCTCGACATAGAGAAAGCATTTGATAGTGTCTGGCACAAGGGCCTATTATGGAAACTAAAACTGCACTTACCTTCCACTTATTTTTTAATTCTTCAATCCTACTTTCTTAATAGATTTTTCTGTACTTCCGTAGACTCTTCTGTATCTTCCTTCTTTCCCCAACACAAAGGCGTACCACAAGGTAGCGTCTTGAGCCCAATCCTCTATTCTATATACACTTCTGATATCCCTGAGCACCCTAATACCACCATTTATTGCTTCGCTGACGACACTGCTATTCTATCTTCACACAAAAATCCTACTATCGCATCAATTGCCCTACAAAACCATCTTCATGATCTTGAAAAGTGGTTTGAAAACTGGAGAATCAAAATTAATAGTACAAAATCCACCCACATTAGTTTCTCTCTTAGGAAAGCCTCATGTCCACCCATAACGATTGCCAATAATCCAGTGCCTTCAAAGAACTATGTACGGTACCTTGGACTCTACTTAGACAAAAGGCTTACTTGGAACATACATACGAAATTAAAAAGACAAGAACTTACTAGACGATATAGCCAACTTTCACATCTTCTGGACTACAGATCTTCACTTAACTTACGAAACAAGCGACTTATCTATAACACCTTACTGAGACCAATATGGACATATGGAGCAGAACTTTGTGGTTCAGCAAAACGAACACACATAAACAAAATACAAACAGCACAATAAAAAATTATACGAAAAATTGTTAACGCACCTTGATACATTTCAAACACTACTTTACGTAACGACTTAAACACCCCAACAGTAAAATCCTACATCCACGACAAATACACTACATTTCGTTCTTCAACCCAAAATCACTCCAATCCTCTGGTTCTTTCTGTCTCCTGCTCCCTGTTACCTGAGCAACGAAGATTAAGAAGAAAATGGCCAAGAGACCTACTACAACAATAAAAAAAATCAAGCAATTACACCAAGACAATAAAAATACAACAAATTTGCTAGATGCGCAGCTGCGCAGGTGCAAATTGCATAAAATAAAATAAATAAATAAAAAAAAGTTAAAATAATGTAAAAAAGATGAATGAGCTAATGTATCAATATATACAACTTAGAGATGAAGATATGAAAAATAGACTGATGGGAAGGAGAAAGGAAAGGAGAAAACTAAGATAAGAAAAATAAACCAACCTGCTCTATAAACAACAGATTGACTAAACAGACAGACGTATTGTAGCGAGGGGGAGTGGTGGTTGTAGATGGCGCTATCTGCAACAGTTAACTGAAAAATGTGAACTAAAGTACCGAAACGTATATGATGTAATTGAGTATAAAATAAGGATAAAAATAGTATAATAATAGAAAGTAGAATAAATTGAGGAGATGTCATAGTGCAGAGATAATAAATATTTTCAGACATGAGTCGTTTGTCATGATTAGGGATGGGGGCTAGGATGGAAGTTTCGTCAAAATCATATGTATGGTTTAGAGAGAGAGAATGTTCGGATAATTTGGAGGCAGTAAAATTACGAGAGGATACAGAATATTTATGTTGGGTGATGCAGTCTTTTAGAAGATTTTTGGTTTTGGCAATATAAGATAAAAAACAATTAGGGGTAGAACACGGAATACGGTAAATGATATGTGAGCAGTGTGAAAGAAGAACAGGGTCTTTTAAGGAAGTGTACAAATTTGAAAGTGTGTTGTAAGATTTGAAGGCGAGTTGTAAGCTAGGGTTAGTAGATCGTAAAACTTTGTTTATGTTGTCAGAAAGATTAGGAATATAAGGCAGAGATCTGTATATGGAGGCTGAAATGGGTTGTGGAGAAACAGTGGAGGTCGAGATTGAGGAAGAGCGATTTTTGTGCTCTGTTATAAGTTTGTTGATGATATGGAGAGGAAAATAATTATTTGAAATGATCTATTTTATATGTTGGATATTGGTTACATGAAATTGGAGATCGGAGAGGGAGAGACTTCGGTGGATGGAATTTTTAGCAAAATTAATTTTTTGGTGGTAAGGATGTTCAGAATAAAAATTCAGAAGTCTGCCTGTGTAAGATGGTTCAGTGTACCAGTTTGTGGATATGGTGTTGTTAGGATTCCTTATGATGAGAAGATCAAGAAAAGAGGGGGTTAAAATTAAAGGCTGATAGGATATTGGGAATTTTATCTGGATTGAGGATTACAAGGAGGTTGTCTATGTATTTTCCGATAAAGATGATATCGTCATCTGACGATCTGCAATCATCTGACTCCAATCAGCCACTGGCCCTCCAGATTGGGGGAAACCCAGTGCCAGGGGTTATAGCCCGGACACCCTTCCTCCTGAGGGGACATAAATATTCAGGAGGCCAGTTGTCCCGAGGATACGGGGCCTCTCCTACTAGGCCAATCACTTGTAGTAGAGCTCAGCTGATTCAGAGTATATCAAATAGCCTCGGATTCGGACAGTCTCAATGGTTACGACACGGCGCTCGAAAGGATATTGGACTTAGAACTTGGAATATCAAGACTTTGACTGGCAAAGAGGTTGAACTGGTTACAGAAGTATATGATGACGTGATCTGGGAGGTGGATGTCATGTGGGCTATTAAGAAAATGACGATTGGCAAAGCAGCAGGCAAAGATGGTATTGCTCCAGAATTTATAAAATTTGGAGGTCCACAATTGCAGAAAGCATTACAGGGCCTGTTTTAGAATATATTTTCTTCTAAATCTAAGCCTGAGGAATGGGGATGCAATATCATCATACCGATCCAAAAGAAAGGAAGCTGAAGTGAATGCCAAAATTATAGGCCTATATGTCTATATCCGGTAGTCTATAAACTTTACTCCTCCATACTGGAAAGAAAACTCGTGACTATTTTTTAATCAAAGTTTTATGTATCAGGTTGCCGGGCAACGGCGGTGCAGTGCACACACGTTAGCCCATTCGGCCACTCCGCCCATATACTTACCTGCCCTTATTTATGGAAGTGAGAGCTGGGTCCTGCTGGACAGGCACTGGAGTAGAGCTACTACTGCAGAAATGAAGTACCTCCAGAGAATAGCAGGAAAAACAAGAAGGGACAGAGTTAGGAATGAAAGGATACAAGGAGACCTGGAAGTGTCAACTTTGTGGGAAACAGTTTGGATGGTTTGGTCATCTATGCAGAATGGATGAGGACGTGATCCAAAGAAATTTTTTGAGGTCAGGCCTACCGGACGCCGTTCTCTAGGAAGACCTAGATTGTTATGAATGGACCACATCTTCAGGATTGGTGAAAAGAAAGGGAATATCAATTCAATGAAAGGCTCGGGATCAAAAGGCTTAACAGTCCTGGATCGGGGCACCTCCAGGCTGAGAGGCACTAAGGAGGATGATATTGAAGAAGAAGAAGAAGAAGATGATATCGTCTGGGTATAGACACATAATAGAGTCTAGAAGGTCGTTAAGAATGATGTTGGAGATGTTGGGAGCGAGTGGGTTGCCTATTGCTAGTCCGGAAATTTGGTTAAAAAATTGTCTTTGGAAGGTGAGGTAGGTAGCCTGATTTTCAGGTTAAGTGAGGTGTGAGGTCGTCAATTGTACTAAATGCATTGTCCATAGGTATGTTCGTGAAATAACTTTCAACATCAAAAGAGCAAAGAATGAAATGGTCTGGAATGGTAAAGGAAATTGGCTGTTCTCGGAGATGAAAACAATTCTGTACATCATAAGGGTTGTTGTGACTGAGAATTTGTAAGGAAGTTAGTAAGAACTTGCTAAGTTTGACTGAAGGAGAATTGATATTGGAAGTGATGGGACGGAGGGGGGTGCCAGGTTTGTGGATTTTAGCAAGTCCATAAAAAAGCTCTTTTCTTAGCCCTGAAGAAAGCCTGAACTTCGGGCCGAAACGTGGGCGAATGTGAAAATAAATACAATTATTTATTTTTACTATTTTATTTTGACTGATCACCCCAATCATCCTTCTCTTCAATTTTAATTGACCTATTTGAATTTAATTTTTCTTTTATTATCCCTTCGTTGGATTGTTTATTTAAATTACAATATTACCAATGTTACCCAGCTTGTTTCTTGTAATAGCCATTTACACATTTGCTTTTGTTTACTTTTTCAGATATGGCTAACCGTAGTGTTTCTATAAAAGAAGAAATTAAAGAAGAATCTGAATCTATTTGTAAGTTATCTTTTTTATAATTTGAGTATTGGTGTTGTTTGATGCACATAAATTTGAGTTAAAATAATATGGGATATGTATAAGTATTATAACTTTTAATGCATTATTAAATTAAGTGTCACTCCACTTAGTTGGATGGACATAGACCTCATTATCACACTATAAATGGTATTCCAAGAATATCCAAGGATTGAATACCTGCTTATAACGATACTCTACGATTTACGATTTACTATCTGTAAGTATACATCTATTCGTTGGTTAACTGAAGGAGAACGTTGACAGCTTCACATAATTCATGCTTAGGTAGAGTCCTAATATGTGAATGAGCAAAATGTGGTTGGATCGCTCGGACTTTAAAACGCATTTTGGTCCTTAATTGTGAATTATGAAACTCAACCGTCGAAAAGTGAAAAAAAACTTTATTGAGAAAACAAATCAAACAATGAACATTATGACATGCTAAGTACTACTGATACAGATATCTTGCTTACTGACTAGCCTAGGATTTTATGGGGGTATATATAGGTAGAGGAGAGGGAGGCTGCTCAGAATGTCAAGTCAGCATAGTTCGTTTCCATAACTATTCCCCCCTTAAAAAGTGAGGTCCTCCGAACTAGGATGCTTGTTTTTCGGTAAGGTAGGAATGCCACGCTCTAGACCTGGCGTCGCAAAAGGATGATAGCTCGATGGGATTGCTGATAGGTGGGTGATCAGGAGTTACAATGTTTGTTAGAGGTGTGGGGTTGTTAGTCTTATTTTTAAAAATGTTTTTAAATTTATAATAATAAAATAATATATGGTGAATAAACAGGTATATACATATTATCAAAGTAAGATATAACATAATGTCAGAATGAGTAATTACAGAATAATCTTCTAAAGGTTCTATATTTAGAGTTCCTAAGTCTAATTTATTTACATCATCGTAGCTATAATTAGTAAAAATTACAGTATCAATATTATGCATAGATATTATGGGTATATTTACATGTTCTTCGTATCGAATAACTATAGATTTATTTACAAATATTTCATTTCTGTCAAGGCTTATTAAACCAGTGATTGGTAAATGATATAACATGGTTTCTGTTATGTTAGTTTCAATAGTAGATAAATTAAAAGTGAGATATTGATTAAGGCTAGGTATAAGTTTAATAAATGGTTTTTGTGAAATTACTATTATTTTACAATGTTCTAATTTTTGGTTGTTACTTAATTCTAATATACACTTATCTTCTACTAAACTAAGACTTTTGTAATTACAATAAAAGTTAGAATTATATTTTAAACATTTTCCCTTATAAAACTGGTTATTATTTCTTATAACTAAAGTATTTTCAACTGGAATAGTTACAATGTTTTCCTTATAAATAATGGGATATGACAGTATGTAATATGTAGTCGAAGGGGCAACCCTTAGTGGTAATTTAATAAATAAATAAATCATTCCCGAATCGGACATTGAACAAATTGCTTTACTTAATAACCAATTTAATTCTACGTCTCTTGTTAGTAAATTTTTATATGGAGTTTTGATGTTTTTAATTTCGTCATACGATAAAATGCTGGGGTGTGTCATGCCTAGTTTACATTGTTCTAATGCGTCTTCTGTTTCTTGTAATTGTGCTTCTATGAGAGTTAAATATGCTAAAAGGTCATGATATGATAATTTGATGATTGTGGAATCTAATACTTTATTATTGGTTTCTATATTATTTTTGAAGTTATTTAAAATGATAATATCTTTATTTAATTCTTGTGTTAATTTCCGGTTGAGGCTAAGCCTAGCTTCCTCGTTATGTTCTATGTGATATAAATTACTTTCAACCTTTTGTAGGATGGTGTCATATTTTTCTTTGTCATCTGCATCCATAGTTCCCGTTAACCAACTGAGAGCAGATCCTAAACCATTAATTATACCACGTTTTTCTCTTTTTATAAATTTACGCTTAATAAGGTGGGTGATTTGGTTAGTTATTCTCTCATACCTCTTATCTAATATTTGATGCAGCATTTTAAATTCTTTTTCTGTCTTCAAACTATTAATATGTGTTTTTATTGTTGTGATTTCATCATTTAGTTGAGATATATTCTTGTAATGTAGGAAAGTGTACCATTCCGTCATCACATACGACGAATTCATTTGAATGATCGAAGCCCCAGGGCCATTCGACAGCGTCTGGATTTTCAACGTTTCTACCTGGAGGGTCCGAGCCAGAAGAATTAAGATCAGAAGAAACTTGAAACAGTCCTTCATCTTCAAAATCTGCAACAGGAAGATTATTGGGATTAACCCTCAAATCCTGAATTCGTTTTTCGATTTCTTCATTTAATTTTTGTGCGTACACATTATCTGCTAGACACTCATTCTGATTTGTGCCTTGAATGGTAGTAGGTTTTCCTGAATCGTTTTTCTTTTTCCTGGGCCTTTTTATTTGGCTTGCATGTAATTTTTTCTTTTTACCCTTAGCGGTTTCAAATTTGCCATTAGATTGTTTACCTTTTTGATATTTTGGATCTTTTTTATTGGAACTGGGTTTTCTAATAAAAACTTCTTCTGGTAATTTAGGGATATCTTCTCTAGTTTCGTTTCTTTTGTTTATATATCTTTCTTTATTTTTTTCTATGTTTGCTTTTATAGCTTCTCTGGTGTTTCTAAGTTTTTCATGATATTCTTGAACCAAATATTCCTGAACTTCTGGATTTTCATTGTAGTTGTCTCTACCGATTCCAAATGTTATTTCGTTCGGACTTAATTTTAAGTCTTGGTTCATTGAATTGTTATACGCGATTGTTGCTAGTTCTAATTTTTCTTCTTCAGGCGCGGTGGTTTGAGTATTTATTATTTTGATTAAGTCTATAAACGTTGAGCTTGCTCTATTAAGTAATCCTAACGAATTTGGATGATTAGGTGTTGTCTCATGTTTTTCAATTTTTAAATATTTTAAAAAGTCTCTAAATAAATTGTTGTCGTATTCACGGCCATTATCTGTCGTGATTACCAGTGGTTTTGGGAAATGGACCAAATATTTCCTCAGTGTTGCCATTGATTCAATAGCGTTTGCTGTCTCGCTATATCTTGTGAATATCTTTTTTGAGAAGGTGTCCGCTATTATATAAACGTAATAATTTCTCATATGGAGAGTGTCCATCATGATTGAATCGAAAGGTTTTTCAGGTGTTGGTGTAATCATAAATTTAGGTCTAACAGGTCTTCTGTCATATTTAATTGAATTACATGTATCACAAGCATTAATGATATCGGTGATATGGTCTTTCATATTTGGCCAATAATATTTTGTTTTCAATTTTAAATATGTTTCATTTATTCCCCTATGGCATGATTTTCCGATATGCTGATCTAAAATCAACTCTTTTTGTTGGTTTTTGTCAGTTATGTCTGGTAATAATAAAGAGTATTTCTTTATTCTATTAGTCGGAAATTTTTCTCTGATAATTTCTGTGACTTTATTATACAATCCTTCGTACCAGTTGGTCTCACTCTCAATTCCTTGGATTTTGGGAAGACAATAAACGCCATAAGTTGTATTGGGTTTTAGTATTTCCAATAACTTCTGTTCTAGTTGTTCTGCGTTTTGGTTATATGGATAAGTTAGTTCTAAAATAATTCTATTTTTATTAAATACTTTTTCTATCTTAGCCTCATTAAATCCCTTCATGATGACTAATTGATTTTTCTCTACGTTGACAGGTCTTTGACCATCGTCGACGATAAGGATCCTATTATCTGAAGACTCGGCAGAGTGTTGGGTATCTAGAGATGAGTCATCCTCTTCTGCGATATGATACATGTCGAACTCGGGTGTCTCTGAAACATGCTTGTCAACTGGATGTCGCGACAAGTGGTCAGCAACCTTGTTCGCTTTACCCTCGATGTGCTTGATATCATATTCGTAGTCTTCTAGAAGCAGTTTCCATCTGATAAGACGGGCGTTTTGTGTTTTGCAAGTCTTAAGATATTCGAGTGGCTTATGGTCAGTGTAAATAAAAAATTTTCTGCCGTATAGATAAGGCCTAAAATGGTTACATGCCCAAATTATTGCTAGGCACTCTTTTTCTGTTGTAGAATAATTTTGTTCGGCTTTATTTAGTGTTCTAGATGCAAAACAAATTGGTAATTCTTTACCATTTTTCTTTTGAGCAAGTACCGCTCCTATGGCGTAATTACTGGCGTCAGTTGTTAAGTAGAAGTCTTCTTCAAAGTTGGGTACTTGAATTATGGGACTACTACATACTAAGGTTTTTAGTTGTTCAAATGCTTCACGATAGGAATCAGGGTTTATTTCGTTTTCTTCCTTACGTAGGGATCTTGTCATAGGTGAAGCTATTTTTGCATAGTTAGGTATCATTTTCCTATAGAATCCTGTCAAGCCTAGAAAACTTTTTATTTCTTTTTCTGTTTTAGGTAATTTAAATTCCTTGACTGCTCTTATTTTATCTGGATTAGGTTCTATTCCTTTTTCACTTATTATATGGCCCAAAAACAATAGTTCTCTTTTACAAAATTCCGTTTTGTCAAGTTGGATTTTAAGATTATGTGCTTTCAATTTTTCTAAAACAGATTTTAGGTGTTTTAAGTGGTCGTTGAAGGTTTCAGAAAATATAATAATGTCATCCATGTATACCAATACATGTGGCATATCCGAAAATATAATATTCATCGCCCTTTGGAATGTTGCAGGGGCGTTACATAACCCAAATGGCATTCTTAAGAATTCGAAATGTCCTTGGTCAGTACTGAATGCAGTTTTATGAACTGAATCCTTATCAACTTTAATTTGATGAAAACCAGAGCAAAGATCCATTGCTGTAAAAATAGTGGCTTTACCTAATTTTCCGAATAAGTCTTCAATATTCGGCAGGGGGTATCGGTCTGGGATCGTTTCACTGTTGAGTTTTCTGTAATCGATCACCATTCTTATTTTCTTCTGCCCTGATGCATCGGCTTTTTTAGGAACTACCCAAACGGGTGAATT